CCTGATCGAAAACTCTGTTGACCACTCAACCTCTGTTAGTCCCTAAGCAGAAGGCTACAATTATATTGGGGAGTCTCATAGAAGTAGTGTCAGTTCATAGCCAGTGTCCAGTAATCCCTGAAAATTATGAATATTTCCTTTTCCTCAGTGCACACTCACCCTGGCAAAAGGTCACAGTCCCATTGAGGAAGACAGGGAGATAGATTAACAAATTAAGTTTTTGATAATGTAGAGAAGTCCTTCCTCAAAGGCCTCAGCCTCTCCTTTATTCAAGGAGTCTGAATCTGGAAACCGGGTCAAATCTAGGAATTGATTGAGGGGGCATGACTCTCTGTTTTTATGTTTCAAGTTAGACTTCTACTTTTCCTAGAACTCTTCCACTTACACAGATTAAGACTCTAAATGACTTCCTATCAATTTCACATCTAGGAATTTTATGATTAACTAGCCAGCACCCTCCAACACTGTGGGTCAGGCGATACTGATAGGTTGTTTTGACTGTGTTGTCCATTAGTTATGCCCATCTTGCTTTTGGTGGTTAGGTGCTACCATTTGGCCCTGCTACTCCAGGGTCCCTATTGTATTTAAGTTTTTCAATTCAATAGTAACCGCTTCTACACCCTTAGTACCTATTTCACACATATTCTTCATATGTCTGTTTTTTTGGGGGGGGGACGGGGGGTGTACCAGGGATTGAACTCAGGGGCACTCAACCACTGAGCCACACCCCCAGCCCTAGTTTGTATTTTTATATAGAGATAGGGACTCAGTCAGTTGCTTGGCGCCTTGCTGTTGCTAAAACTGGCTTTGAACTTGTGATCCTCCTGCCTCAGCCTCCAGAGCCACTGGGATTATTGGCGTATGCTACCGTGCCCGGCCATATGTCTGTTTAAACTTGAAAAATCACAAATCGTTTTGGAGTGTAGCACACTTCATCATGGGTCACACTTTGTACCTTTCGTGCAGCACTTGCTGGGACTTGAATCTTGTTATCAGTCTAGAAGGAAAGAGAGATGGCAGGGCAGGTTCAGAGGAAAGCCCTCAAGAGTCTTGCAAGTCAGGGATCTCAAGGAAACTATACTTTTTATAGGAAAAGCAGACCTGCTCAGATGCTAATGGAGTGACTGCTTCTACTGGCAAACAAGACTCATGGAATTTATGGGTTCGGGGTCCTCTCTTCATCATGATCTTCCCATATGTCTCTACACCAGTTTTTCAGAATCCCATTCCTTCTCAATTGTGCCCATTTTTAATGGCACATTTCTGCAGCATTGGCAATTTGATTGGCCTTGTGATTCAGCCACCCACAAGATGAAAACTCTGGGTTTTGGTTTTCAGCAGTCTCAGCTCTGAGGCTATAAGAGATAAGTAAGGGCTTCTTCTGGGAAAGACATAGAAAATTTCAAGTCATTTATACTCTGCCCTATCTAAACACTCCAAATCTAGAACTCCTTCCCTTTGCTTTCTGAACTTCGTTCAGTAAAATTAGGAACAACTAGCCTACTTCATTATACTCATGAGTTTGACAAAAATGTTCTAAGTAAGCAAATACATAGTCACTCAGAAACTTGCCTCCTATAAGCTTCGATAAGGAGCATGCAATAATGATATTTGTATGTATCTCCATTGCCACATCAAGTCACGGACTTCCAGTCCTCTTGCCACTGCTAAAAATAAAGCCATCAGTGCCTCTAAATCTAATCATATCGGAAAGCTAATTCTAGAAACCCCCAAACCAACTCAGAGAACTCATTCTTAAGATTCTGTTTCTCTATAAACATTCTTCTTAATGCCAAAAATCTGTTTTCTAAAGAGACAGAATCAATGGGGCATGTGTGTGGGGTGGAGAGTTGATCGATTTCAAGATTTGGCTCACACAGCTGTGGGGATCTTAAGTTCAAACTCTGCAGGGGAGGTTCGCAGGGAAGAGTTCATTTTGCAACTCAAGTCTGAAGGCTGTATGTAGGCAGAATTCCTTTTTGAGGTTCATCA